CAAAGCCGTACTGTGGAAGGTAACATCAAGATCTAAATAAGGGAAATGCCGCTTATGGCTCCAACCACGTTGTGGCTTGGTAGAGATTCATATAGCGAAGTGTGTCGAAAATGATGAATTTCAATTACCGTTTTTCATATGAGAACAGCGACTGCGAGGGACGGTGAAGAAGCTGTGGAATGCTTACCTAACACACTTCCCATAGACCACATAACTGGATCTCGAAATGGCTGCGGAAAGATCTGATACGAGATTCAAAAATGTCCACGAACTTTTGGAACAACCTAATACTTTCTGATGTCGCGTAAAAACTGTCAGTGTATTTTTAGCCACTGCACAGCCACAGTACATTCGTCCATGTAGAATCAATTGAGTCCCGCTGCGAACGCCGCATCGCCGCTACGTGGATCTCCTGCACTATGTACATCACCATGTAATGTATCAGAATGTACACATCAGTATGACAAAGACACATAGCCTTAGGATCAAACTCACACCCTAACTTGTATATGTATGTTTTATTTTTGTCCATAAATGTTTTATTCCGTTTACAAAGTATACGGAAAGAATTAAGAAATGGGACAGTATCGTGATGTATTGTAGAACTGACTTAGAAATGAAAGGGGGAGGGCGTAAAGGCTTGAATAGCATTTATTCATTTATTACTCTTTCTTGTAGGTATTTACTCTGCGGGGCTTTAGGAAAGGAATCAATTAATTTTTGATTAGAATTCACACACGGGCATATTACTATTTAATACAACAGGAATGCAGTCATTACATGATCGAAAGAGACTGGAGAGAATTAACGACTATTGACAGGTCGTAGTCATTTTCCTTTGAATACTGATTAGTAAAGAATATTCAACATTGGGCGCTGTACGGCTTGGGAGGGTGATTCGACAACTCAGCTGCCCCAGCAAGCCGAACTACGACCAAGATTTCTGGGTTGCATATCCAGGTGAAAGTCGATTTCCGACAGTCAATTATAGGGGCACACTAAATATTGTATTTCTTCGGTACTCCCGTCCTTTGTCAGTTATATATTTATTTATGCCTTTTCTGAACGCTGAAGATATGTCGCTTGGTAATTTTTTTCCATGGTTGCATTTTTTATAGATCTTTTTTTAGTTTTTTGATTGTAGTTTTTTTTTCACTAACAGCCTTCTCATTTTTATGTAAGATAGTTAAGCTGTTTTAGCCTCAGCATGCAACACATTTGTAAGCCAGGCAACGAGCTTTGCTTGAACGGACATATCCTCTCTGCCATTAGCTATTGCAATACCCACTGTCCACTCCAATTGCCAAACAGACAGTGATCAATTGAATTCTCTATTACACCTATGTATGCCCTTTGGCCGCTGAAATGAGCATTACGAGCTCTCCAAAATCTTTTTCTCTGTAAGATCTTCACTTTCGAATTGTCAAAGTTGTTCTCGTAGCCGGTTCGATTCAGAGCCGAGTGAGCTTCCTTATCAAAGAAACGAGGAAGCTGAGTAAGTAATGAGCTAGAGCGTATGAAGTAGGGCTGGTGCTAGAAGTACGGAGGTATCAATAGATTTTCCTAGAACCGAAACTTGCTTCTCACTATTGTTAATTGTTCCTATACCTCCAAGTATGATCATAACATAGAGTTTGAAGTATATTGAAACTGAGAGAATCGCCTGCAAATTCGGCTTAGACAGGGGAGCGGAATCCCAATTTCAGTATCTTTCAAAACCCATCGAACGTGTTGCGATTGCTAGTTTACGCGTAGCGTTGACAAGTTGGTCTAGCAAGATTAATCTGGTATCCTTTTTCAAGGCTTCACATACAGTCTAACATGAGATCTTAAACTGACTAGTATCACGGTCGTATACTGAATAAGCGAAAGTGCCGATAACCTGGGTGTAGATTTGTCACTTTGTCACCAACCACTAGAGCTTAACAGAACCCCCCCTCCCCCCCTCGCCGAACTATGCCGAAGAAAACGGGGTAAGCGAAGCGGCTGGACTGTGACGGTTCAGAATAAAGAAAGGTCGCGAGGTCTTTTTTTTCTTAAATCGCGACCTGCACCACCGTCGCTCTTTCATAAAGAAATTCGAACGATTACTTGACCACTCCCAGAATCTCTACTAAACTGTCAATCGGCACTTTGAAACCATAGAAAGGCATAATCGGCGTTGGTAACCCTGAGGAGCGTTTGAAAAGCTCTTTTTGCAAGCGTGGACAAATAAAGTGAGCGTACCATGTATGGGCTGTTTCACCAGGAATGGGGCTTCTCCCCCTTCAGGCAAAAGCCTGACCTCCGTAGCGAGAATTCCAATTTTGCTTAAAGACTTTTAAATACCCCCTCCCTCCTCCAAGGTCATTGGTACAGCGAAATACTAAGCGTTGGTCAATCAGGCGGTCTGGAATCGTAGCTAATGAGTCGAGACGTTCCTGCTCCCAAAAAGGAGACGTTCCTTCACCAGTGCCCCTATGTACCCAGACACGAACGCGCTGATTGCCTGAATTTGGTGGGAAGACAGTTGTAGCTGGCTGCCACAAAGGTTGGTGTCATTGATTAATTAATTAGCCTTTACGGTCGCTGTTCTGAACTGCCAGGTGTCATGAGGAAACCACACTGCGGCTCTCGCGCATATGTACACTCCTTATCCCTGAGACAGAGTAGGCGTGGCATTTGTACATGGCGCAGAATGGGTTACTCGTGGGATAGTTCACTACAAAACAACTGTCATCTTGTTAAGTAAAGGACAAAGACATGACTACAACTGTACCAAAATGAAAATGTCTCTCTAAAAGCACAGCCAGCGCCACTTTTAGTTGAAGTACGCAGCCACGCCTATCCCATCTCACAGATTCCGAGTATACTAAATCAGCAAAAAAAAACGAATCGTTTCTGATTCAGAAGAAATGGTTTTGTACCTTGTGGTCTGAATTCTTCTCCCAAAATCCGAGCGATATCTCTGAACCAAAATGACGGCTGGCTTGTGATCTGCAAACGGTGGTATTTAATGCAAGCAGAATAAATCGTGAATGTTCCTAAAACTAATTATGCTGACTTAATTCTGAATTGGCTTACATTACGTGACATTTTGGCTCCAAGGCCTTCGCTGAGAGTGAGTGCGTCACTCTACCCCTCCCCCCCTCCTCCGCGTCACTTCCCTCTCACTATGGGCATCATTTTTACCTTCAGAAGCTCCAAACGGACGTGACATTTGGACTTGAAATTCTGTGGTCAGTTGAAGATAGCTTATATAGGTCATCCCATTCAAACGTGCCGCTACATATAGAGGAATGGCAGAAAAGCAAAGGGGATAGAGCAGCGGGCTACTATACCATTTGGAAGCTAGTACCTTAAGCTGTGTATCTGTGAAATTTGGCGAACCTAGCCCCAGAAGAAGTTCTCGAGAAATTGAAAAGAAGCCCGAGTGGTGAAAATCGGCGCAAGGTCTTGGTTCAGGAGGCCGCGTACCAAGAAGAGAAGAGATAAATTCGGTCGTCGGTGGATGGTCAAATATTCATCCTGCACAAGAAAAACGGGTGGATGAAGTCAGGCACTGAATATCTGATCACAGAGCCTGGACCCTTGTCGAGCTTCCCCGCGAGTCTGACATCCCAGCTGCAACTGCTGCCCGAGTTATGTCCGATAAACGGAGGATGGTCAAGAGGGTGGCGCATGGGTACCCAATTTTCTTATAGAAGCACGAACGCAGTACCGATTCTATACCTCCAGCAGTAATGTTCTCAGCATGAGATGTCACTCACAACTGTGAAAACGCACCCCGGCCCTTAGATGAAATATGGGTGGTCTTGGACCTCGAGCCGAAACTCACAATCGTCAATTTATGAATGCAGATGAGAAGCCGCCCGAGTTCTACCATGAAGAGTTACGTGGGCGCAAGTGGATGATCATCATAGCAAAGGATTCCCACACTGTGGCTTTCAAGCGGCTCTATACAGAGGACAAATCCGTCACTGTCGGTGCATATTGCCTGTTCCTCGGCATTCAGATCGACAAATGGATGCTACCACACAACTACAAGAAGGCCACCGTTGCTCGTCATAGTGCCAGACCCCGAGTAACTGTATTGTAGATCAGTGCTGGGACACAAACAATACTGAGACCTGGGTTCAATCGCCCCATTCGCCCGTCATAAAGCCATGCGATTACAAACTGTTCTATTCAGTTGAGAGTACTCTCCAACGGCAGACGCTACAATGTTTTGTCATTTGCCGAAATTGGCAACAACAGCAATTTACCCACACTTATTGAAAAATCGAAGGTACCAGAGGTCCAAAGGCCCTCGGGGCACTGGGAGCGGGTCATTGGTGAAGGAGGGATTTACTCATCCTAAAGCTAAAATATCACTTTTCTATTTATTCTCCTCTTTGTTTTATTCAAAAAAAAACCAGCGGCACGTTTGAATGGGATGACCTAATATTTATGAGTATAATCCGAGCTAATTTTAACCATGTGGGAACCCATTCATACTCACCAAAATTCGCTCTCCATCACTTTCCGGACAATGCATAGCTAGCAAATGTGCTTTCGCCACGTCTCGAACGTCCACACAGGCCAGATTCAGTTCCGGAAGGGCAGGCCATTCAAAGTTGAGGAATCGTCGCATCAGCTGAGCATGTGTACTTATTATCGATATCTCGATTCACTTGTGGACATTAATAGTCCCTTCGCACGTGCCTTTAGATATAAACGGTTAGTACTCACCGATATACTGGCACCTTCTTCATCTATTATCAGTGGGCCAACAACAAATGTCGGATTCAGGCACGTCAGTTTGAATCTGAAAAGAATTGCGTGTGCAAAACTTTGAATAAAAATCGTAATTAATGAGGAAAAGGTCCAATAAAAAAAACTACTTCAGGATGCGCGCCCTGGATTCGCTTTTAGTGAAGGTTGGTGAAGTCATTTGTGTACATGCACAGTGCGAGGTGTTTTTGTCGCGGTAAGGTCTGGCATTCCTGGGGACCCGGGGATCACGCGCGGTATGACAGCACCTTTAATTTCCTCCCCACCCAGCTGCCACTGTGGTAACGATAAGCACAGATCAAGTCAGTCTGACCAGAATCCATGACGGAAAGCCCCCTCAAAAGCGGTAAACAAGTTTTGTTATTCATTGCATTTGTTTTTGTGATTATTTTACTTTGAGAACCCCTTCCCTAAAGCGACCAAGATGGATAGCTTCCGCCAGCCGCTTACGCCAGTGCGTCCATTGCTTTCGAGGTACTCATAATTGTAATCAACACCCTTCAGAGGAATGAATAGGAAATCATATAAAGTAAAATATCGTACTTGTTGCCGTCCTTTATGTTGTTAACGAAATCCCATGCGGCTTTTTCGGCCAATGTCTTGCTTTTGGCGTAGTAGTCTACCTTTGGATCGTCAACATTGGTCCATGACGTTTCGTCGTACGTTTTTCCATAGGTTTGCCCTTCTGAAAACTTATGCGTGTACAGCTTAAAAAGTCCTTCAACAGAGCGCAGTTAACCAGAGAAAGCGCGATCCGGACTACCCAAACGTCCCCTGTCCAATTGGTGTCCGATTGAACATATTAATATCTGGAGCTCGAAAAACCAACCGTGTACCGCAGCACAACTGCTGGTGAGAACGACTTTCTTCACGCTGGGTTCTTTCGAAACGGCTCGGAGAACATTGAGTGTTCCAGTGACAGCAATGTCCACGCAGGATGGATCGGATACAATGGGAAACGGTGACGCGATATGGAGCACGTAGTCACAATCGCTCACTGCACTAAAAACATCCGAATATGGAAAACATTGCAAATTCAGAAACCGCCTTAGTTGGTCCTCATAAGAAACCTGGATGCACATTTAGAGACGGGCTGAATCTGTGACGGACGAGTATTGGACGGGAGGTCCGCTACTGAACAGAACAGAAGTATTGAACGGGAGAACATCATTAGTTGGGATTTTGGTCGAGTTCGTAAGCCCCCCCCCCACTCTGAAAGCTGGCTTCAAACGATCCCCCTAGTTCTCTGATGCGGTCGAGCGAGGGGGGGGGAAGGAACAA